CTCATCTGCCGTTGCAGATATCAGTATTGCTGCAAGTTTCTACAGACATGAGAGGGTCTAGCGGCCCCCTCGTGCTCTCCTTGTCTTGGCGTGCTGGTCTTGGGTCCAAAATCCTGGTTCCGTGGTCGGGTCACCAGTTTATCGTATTGCAGAAATGCGATTTCTCCTCTGTCCTTAGCCTCTCTTAACAGTGGCATCAACGCTTTTCTTCTCTTCCTCACAGCCTCGGGGTAATCTTCGTTGATGTAAATCTTGGTTCCCTTAACCTTCTTGGCTTGTTGCAGAATGTTAATCTTGTCTTTCTCATTCTTCAACTTAACCATCATTCCCCTTGGACCCCGTTCGGTCAATTTCCCCACTCTGTAAACCCGTTTCATCTCTATTTCTTGATGAATTTGTAGTTTGTCCTTAAAATCTCCTTCACCTTAGACTCCGCTTCCGTCCAGCTTTCTCCAGCTGACTCTTTTATTCCCTCAAAGATCAGGTTTTTTTGCTTGAACTGCGCTTCCAGTTGCTCCATTTTACACGCAATAGTTATTAGACTCTCTCGGGTTTTGTCGATGTCCCGAAAAGTGTCTTTGGCAGTTTTTTCATGCCTCCCCACGTCCATTTTAATCGTGTTCACTTCTCGCTGGGTGAACTGCAAACTCGTTTTTATCTCCTGCATTTCTTTGGTCAAGTCGTCGAATCTCTTATTTGTCTCCATAATTAGTTTCACAAAGCCTTGGAAACTCTCATTCAGTTGGCACATCAGCGCAGTGTGCATAATCTTCTGTTGATTCATCATCTCAGCTACTTGTGCCGCTAAAAAAGAATCTTCTTCCGCCTTAACATCCTCGTTCACTTCGGATTTATTAGCTCTTTTTCCTTTTGGAGGCATTTTAGTAGTTGTAGAATTTGTTCAAAACCTTGACAATGTGGAAGATGTGAAAAATCGCAGAACAGACAAGAGAAGCAATAAAGACATCTGCTCTCGCTTGCAACCCGGAAGCAACATGCATCATCATTTTTAAACACAGAGGGCATAGATGTCAACATCTCATTGTAATAAGGGGCTAATGTTTATGGGAGTGGACTGCACATATATGTGTAAAAACAAATTATAGGAACAAGCTGAGAAGGATTTGTACTTCTCACCTGCAATTATTTTGTCATCATGACACAAGTAACCTTATTTGCTCAAGCTCACAAAAGTCAAACTTACATTTCTAATGGCTCTATTGTGTTTAATGGCGTCTGCTGTAGTGAGTAATCACCCTTAAATTCCCTCAAGGCTGCTGAATAATAATAACCTCAGCCCGGGTATAAACAAAACAAAAGAAATAATAATAGACTTCAGGAAGAAGAGTATTTCACACACAGAACAATATTTTGCAACAGATTTTTCCCTGCCACAGTAAGACTGATGGCAAATGCAAGATGTGAAAATTCCGTGCAGTAACCCCTCACTACCCTACTAAGTAGAAGACCATATACAATTCACCATGTGCAATAATTGAAACTCCCCATTTTACCTGCTACCTTATTCCTGTGTCCACAATTTTATTAACTATTTTGTATTCTTGGGTGTTCTTGTATTTTGTATTCTTGGGTGATCTTACATTTAGACTAGGTGTTCGTTCTTTTGGCTTTAAACTCTTTACTTGACTCCAGGAGAGCCCTGCACAAAAATTTCTATATGCCTAGACTGTCTGTTTATGCATAAATGGTGAATATCCGTCCATCCATCCATCCATTTTCCTCCGCTTATCCGGGACCGGGTCGCGGGGGCAGCAGTCTAAGCAAAGATGCCCAGACTTCCCTCTCTCCAGACACTTCCTCCAGCTCCTCCGGGAAAATGCAGAGGCATTCCCAGGCCAGCCGAGAGACATAGTCCCTCCAGCGTGTCCTGGGTCTTCCCCGGGGCCTCCTCCCAGTGGGACATGCCCGGAACACCTCCTCTACTCTGAGCTCCTCCCGGGTGACCGAGCTCCTCACCCTATCTCTAAGGGTGCGCCCGGCCGCCCTGCGGAGAAAGCTCATTTTGGCCGCCTGTATCCGGGATCTTGCCCTTTCGGTCATGACCCAAAGTTCATGACCATAGGTGAGAGTCGGAACGTAGATTGACCAGTAAATCGAGAGCTTCGCCTTATGGCTCAGCTCCTTCTTCACCACGACAGGCCGGTACATCGACCGCATTATTGCAGAAGCTGCACCGATCCGCCTATCAATCTCCCGTTCCATCCTTCCCTCACTCGTGAACAAGACCCCGAGATACTTGAACTCCTCCACTTGGTGGAAATGGTGAATAAAAATCTTGAATCTTATGTTTCAATGTTCCAGTGTTGCAGGCTCCAACAATCACTGGACTGTTTAAGCAAGTTTGCAGAAAAGAGCACAGGTGACCACGAATGTCATTTTAAAGTGATAAAGTTGTGTAAATGAGCATGTATAAAATCAACCATGCAGAAAACCCCTCAGCTGAAATGGTAGTCCATGAGACTGATAACATGACAAAGGTCCAGACTCAAAAGCATGATCCATGCATCTCAGTCACGGGAACCACCTCCTGTTAATGGCAAACTGTGAGACTTAATCTACTGGCATGTTTGTTTTACCTGGCTCAGATATGCTGGACTGGCACAGGCTATAGATCCAGCTGGCACAGACAACACTGTCCACACAAAAATCAACCTAATATGAACCCTTTCCTTTATCTACTCAATTTATTGTTTTTCTTTGTAGCTGTAAATGTTTTTATTGCATGTATATGAGCATAAGCTTTAAATTTTATCATGATTTGTCAATTTACAAGACTGCAAAACAAGAGAGAGGAAACAGTAAGTAAAAGATGAAACCAGAAACAGAAAACACAGGTTAACATTAACCAAGGTACTTAGAGTCATTCACACACATTTTCCCACACTATGAGGAATTGTATTGATTGAAGAGTATTGATAACATGTAAATTGTATTGACTGGCTCACCCTTTTGTCTGTCTGTATTGATCTGTGTGTGTGTTTGAGTATAAATATGTGTGTGTGTGTGTTCCTGTACTTGCTATATAGTGAGAACCAAAATAATAAATAGTTTGAAACTTAAGCACAGCGGTGGCCTGCAGTGAAGACAGACACAGACATGACGTTAAAGACATAAAGAGTTTAACAACAGATGCATTTTTATTGAAATATTTCCTGTCATGAGATGCTACCTCTGCTTATGCTTGTTTATGTAAGGGGTCGTGTGACCGACAGGGGGAGGAAGAGAATAGCGAAACCAGCAGAGAGAGGCTTCACTCCGCCCCTTAGGAGGAGGAGCGCCCATATCACTCCAAGCTTAGCAAACTCAATTCTCAGACACTGGGCGAAAGGAAACTCAACGTAGCTTTAGACAAAAGAGCAGGCTAGAGTTTGTTTACGTCCTCTGCTGCACTTTCCACTCGGACAGGTCGGATTATTCAGCCATTCCTGGCGGAGGAACGCCAGCAGCAACTTGGGATTTATTTCACTTTTGACTTTTGTTTAACTTCTTTACTTTTTTTAACATTTGGAAGTTAATGCGCTTCTCAGTGTGGACCTGTGGATCATATTTGGACTCACGCTGATATTTTTTAAATATATTTTTTAAATTGCAGCCAACTTGTCATCGACTTATTTTCGGAGCCGACGTTGATGTCTCACCGCTGACATGCACCTATCTAGGTGAGTTGGGGAGCTGGGACAGAAGGAGCAGAGATGTGCGATGTTTTCTTTATACATTTGGGCCGACCGGCATGTCATCTGTCACGCTGCTTAGAGCCACAGTTATAGCTCCTGTTTAGCGGCAATGTTTTAAACATAGAGGAAGTAAACATGTTATTTTCTTTAACATTGTAGTTTATTGTACTGTGGAATATGACTTACATTGGAGATCCATGCGTAAAACGTGACTTAAAACCGAATTCGGTTGATTGTACGTCGTATTTTCATGCAGCAGCTTGTTCCCGAAATGCTCCAATCTGAGTTTAAAACGACCCTTTACTACTTTGTGGAGGCTTCTTGTCGATAGGGATTTAGAAGGATGCCACTATACAGTGATCCTATGATGTTTGGCAGCGCAGCGCACCGGGTTCAGTTCCTTATATTAACCATTAGTCGAGCGCAGACGACATTTTGCCCGGTATTAAGGCTGTCTGTATTGGCTCTAAATAATAAATTGTGTATGTCAGGGCTGGTCACTTTGTCTCCAGGGTTCCAGAAGGTTAGCTTAACTTTATTTGCTGAATAGAGTGCGTGGAGCTTTTGTCAGGCAATAATCACTAATGTGAAGATTTATAATCCAGTATGAAACTTCATTTCTAACAAAAGAACTGATATTTACTAATATTTCATAAGATAACTGATTATCTGTGAGTGGGGTCACGGAGTTCATAGACCAGATTAGATTTGATGTATCACTTTATTTCAGGTTATGAGTTATCCGAGATCTGTCAGACCCATTCAATTAGTTCACCTGTAGCTTTGCCAGCACGACGACCTATGATAATAGGCAATTACTGGACTGTAATTGTCGGATTTAGCCACTTTATTAACAGTTTACAAGGCTAAATATGTGCGCGTCCTGCGGGAGGCGCACATGGACCACTGTGCCGTTGAAGATGAAAGATACAGAAAGCATAATCAACGAGGCGCACACTGTCCATGTGACAGCTGCAAAATTATATTGACATCTTTGTCTTAATGGTAAAGTGAAACCTTATCGTGTAATATCACTTGTTCTGGTGAGATCTGACTGTTCTTTCGTCGCCCACGGAGACAGAAACTACAGCTTACCTCTTCATGCTCATACAGTGACTGTGCAGTTGTGCTGCTGGACGGATCTCATTAAACATTCACGGCACTGACACCTGATCAAATGCCGTGCGTACTCTTTTTCTGGCGCTGTTGTAGGAGATTTTCTTTCCATCCCTTCGGCTACCTTTCCCTCTAGGTTGGGTGGGCGCCGGTACAAGTTGGTGTCTTTTCTCTAGGTGCTGCCTGACACGCGTATTAACTATCTTCGTAGCACCAAGATCGGCAAGGGGAACGTTTATATTCCCGCACGGCTGAAGGACAGCCGCCGGGTCCAGTTCAAGTACAGCTGTTGTCACTGCTCCTCTGTGCGTAAAAATGTCTAAAAGTGATGACCATTTACATCCAAGGTGCGTAAAATGTGTTTGCCCGAAGACTTAGTGCTAGTCGGTTTAATTTTAGGTAATGTTGGTACAGAAGTAGGTCATTGTCGCTGGGAATCGGTGCGCTGAGGAAGCTGTAGTTTATTCTGGGAAAAGCGCTGCAAGAAAGTCTTTTATTAGACTGTGGTCGTTTTAAAACGCAAAATGAGAAAGCTGAAACGTCTTTGTCAATCGGTGTTTTAAATAAAATCACAAAATCAATATTGCACAGTTTTACCTTGATTCAACAAAGCCCTTTGCATTTGCTAATAAGAAGAAATTAAAGATTCTTTTTGTTAATTTACTTGGAAATAGGATTTTCAGACTGATGTCTTTTATGCTGTTTATATGTGACGCAGTTGAAGTTATTACTCCAGCCGCTTCCTTCATGCCAGATTGTTTTCCCCACAAGCCAAATAAAGATCTGCTGCAATCAGCAACTTTCTGTTAAACAATGGAGGCGCACCGGGCGGCCAGTTGGACAGGAAACCTGGGCTACCGCCCGAACAGGAACACATTCACTGCACACAAACTAGTCAAACACTCACTACACAGCTTTAAACGCCTGTGTGGGTGTCCGCTGCAGTGAGAAGTGGGATAGAATACGGATAAGTTTCACAAAAGATATCGGCCAGTTTATTTGGCACGTCCGCTCTTATTAAACATCAATGTGCGCGTCACCGGGATGGCCTGTGAAATTAATCAGATTTAAAATCCAGAAAGAAACCGTATCTACGAGTTCCAGTCCCGACGCAGCAGCGCGCTACTAGATATCCAGCTCCAGGCGCAGCGGAGACGCGAGTCTCTAAGCTGTTGGGGGAGAGGGATGAGAACCCAGGCTGACGGTGCCGCTCTGTTCACCCAACAGACCACCAAACCGCTCCGATGGCTCGACCGCAGTAACAGCAACAGAGGAGAGCGGAGATCCACCATCTGTCGGTGCCGCTGGAACCTCGGCGCAAAGCTCCCGTTCGAACGGCGGCAGCGAGCGGAGCTTTGGCCACCCCGGCTCGGCCGGAGGAGGAGAGCCGGTCTCGCCTTCCCGGTGCAGAACCAAAGCCATCGCTCCTCTCGACAGCCTAAGCGTGTTTCACACAAGGTCTATATTCCACCTCCCTCGCCGGTCCTCCAGTGGATATTTCTCCAACGACAGCGACTCTGTGCCGAGCTCCCCGCTCTCCCCGAGGCCAGTGACGGCTGACAAAGTCACGCAGACTCCGAGTCCCAGCAGCCAGGTGATGAACCACGCCCTGCAGTGCATGGCTGAGGCGCACGGCGGTCGACCGGGGACGCACCGGCAAGATGGTGAGCAGATACTTTGTATCCATAACCGATGATTAACCGTCAAAACTGAATACAAGTAGGTAAAATAGGTTTAATTTCTCATTATGAAGTCTTTTGCCAAGTAATGAAGTGACAAATAAGGCTGAAAATAAACCGATATAGAGGCCATTGAGTATATTTATATATATAAGCTTTAATTTAAATACAAATCAGATATTTTCCTAAAGAAAAACTATAAAACCAACATTTTCCATTGTTGCAATGTTTTCTCTGTTGCTCATACAGTCAGTGACCTCTGCTATCCTCAACAATCAATTATACTTGAAGAAACTAATAAGTTAAGCTTTTGATCAAGCCTGAAATCATTTTCCCACTACTAATTTTGTTCTTCTAGTATTGGTTGTAAACAGGCTGTAAACTGAGTGTACACAGTGAGACAGAGGCTGGTGTCTGTCCTGAACCAGCCAATAAAAGCTGCTCTGCTGTTTTCACTGTGAAATTTAGCTGCTGCTTCTGTGTGGGTGTGCAGCAAAATATGAAACCAGATATGAGCTCAACGCAAGCTCCCTGAAACTTCCTTCATCAAACATTTGAGGGTTTGGGCTGCTGATGTTGTTAACTGTTATTGATAGCGTAAAGATGAACAAAAACATACTCAAGATGGTTTTGTCCTCCCATTTTATTCTGCTAGAGCTTACTCATGAGGCAACACAGAGTCTTCCCCTCTTCTCTTAGCATGTTACTACATCCTCAGATGAATAATCCAGGCTCACATTCTAGTTCACTGACTAATACCCAGCACTTCTTGCTCCACTGGCCCTGATAGGAAGTCCAGCAAAATTCAGGCTCAAACCTGCAGCTCTGGAACTCACTATCATGACTCTGCAGTGCTGCCAAACCGATTTCTGCTGATTCCCATCTTTTCATTCTACTGCAGTATTACCCTACTTCCTACTAAGTAACATCCATCACCAGTGAGTGTGTAAATTCTTCCCAGACCCCACAGGATGCAATGAAACCAAACACACAAGCCCAATCTCATAGGAAAATCATAACTTGTGTTCCCTGCATATTGGATAAAACATGTGAACAATGTGGGCTCCAGCCATTTTTTAAGAAAACAAGTGAAATCTTGACCAAAAACCATATTTTAACCTTAACTATTATATTAATGTTACCATGAACTCTGCATTAACCCTTAATAATTATATTCATCTTTAGTTTGTCAGGGCGTTTCGGTGTCTTTAAAACAAACACACAATGGCACATTATGTTGCGTTATCTCAACAACCTTGCTGCTTTGGATTCAAGTATTTGTTGTGCAGTGCAGCTGAATCAGATTTTTACAAGAAGGAAGCAGGTTTTTGACTTTTATCTAAAGTCACAGAGATACACCCAAGTGTGTGTAGTGCGGGTGTGTGTGCAGCAAAACAAAGCAACAGGAATGACACTGAGGGAAAACATTTTGGTATTTTCATTACTCCGACACCAAATGAATGTCAGATATGCAGAATGCATCTTGTTGTATATATTTTAAAGAGCAAAAAAAAACAAACAAACAACTCAACTCAACTCAACTCAACTTTATTTATATAGCGCTTTACCACAGCACAGCTGACCAAAGCACTTAACATATCATACAAATATAAAAACAACACATAAAAAACTATAAACAATAATATAAACACTAACACCACGGACAGAGTGTCATTCCTGATCAAACGCCAGTGAATAAAAATAGGTCTTCAAATAAGACTTAAAAGTGGGCAGTGAGGGGGCCTGCCTAATATAAAGCGGCAAGGCATTCCATAGGTTTGGACCTATCACAGCAAAGGCTCTGTCCCCCCTAGTTTTCCGCCTGGCCCTTGGTGCCTCCAGAAGAAGCTGATCTGCTGATCTGAGGCACCAACAAACAAACTATAAAATGTAAGATTTTCTTGGGGAAACAAAGTATTATACATGTTCTTGTTGTTGAAAACCTGCAGTTGAAATATTTGAAACACATTTAGTCATTAGAACTTTTGAAACAACATATGCAACCCTTCATACAGTTGTGTCAGAGTTTAAGGGACACAACCATCAGTGAGGAGGACGTGTGACACCCCGAGTTTCATGTGTCTGCAAGGTCCTTTGTTCTGGTAACATGTTGGGTTAAGCTGTATTAGTTGGAAGCTGCTGCTTTAGGGTGAATTTGACATGTACATCAGTGTCTGGCCAGAATAAACAACATATTTTACAAGACAGCTGCGACCGTTTGAGCTTCTCTCCTGAACCTGAGATTTGTTTCGTCACTCACCTTTTTTGATCTTAGCTTATTTCATGACATAGGTGCTGCTCCCAAAGGTGAAGAGAAAATATCATGCTCTCGAGTTCAATGTACTTTTATCATTGCATCTTAATCTCAATTTGAAAAGTGTATTCCCCATGGTTCAGCCTCACATATTTAGTTTATCTCAACTTCAGGGTCCTGAATAAAACATATAATCAAGTTCTGTAGATCTGAATTTGTACTGATGGAGCAGCCAAGGTGTTTTTTTGGACTTTGTTCATTTCTCACAGCACTGATCCTGTTTATGTTTCTGCTGTTTATTTAGATACAAATCCAGAACAAGACACACAACTCTGTTACCTCCAGCAGCAGTGATTTAAAATAGAGCTCTGGTGGACTTGTCAAACACAACTTAGATGGGATGCTGTTGGCTAAACATGCTTGTGCTATTGCTTGATAACAAACAAAACTAGTATGGCTAAATAAATAAATAAATAAAACTCACACAGAGCTAACAGAGTGAATCCCCTCACAGTGTTGGTGCAGTGGCTGCCAAATATATCCACTATGTGGTGACTGATAAGCTTTTATTTGTTTTTTCTGGGATTCTTCAAATTGAGCATTTTAGTTTCACATGCATAAACACACAACACTGCAGAAGCCTCACCTTTACCCACATCCAAATCTATCTGTGTATTGTGTTTTATCACTAGGATAATGGTGTGTATCAAGTAAAAAAAAAGTCGTCTCCGGCGACCACACTACAACGTCCGTAAACCTCGGTGTTTCTTCTGTACACAAGGCTCTGCTTTTTATAATAGCCCTGATTAGCTTCACTGATTGCCTTGAGTCTCTTTTATTCTGCTTCTCTGCAGCCAGACAGACAAGATAACGGTCAAAACAGTGTGTGCGTATGTGTACACGTCATTCATTAAGTACAGCCGTCAAAACAGGCCTCAGTGTGTGTGTGTGTGTGTGTGTGTTGCAGTCAAAATAGGCCTGCAGTTCTTTTGTAAGATGCAGACAGAAAACCTTCCCCTCTCTTTCATTCTGCTACATCCCTCAGATGGGACAGACGGGAGATAAACGCACACACAGTCATACAGTCTGTGTTAGAGAGCGAGATAGAGTGGCCATGTTTAAGGAGGTTTATCATCTTGTTGCTATCGCTCCCTGACAGTGTGATTACAACACTTCCTCCTCCTGCAGCAGGAAGATCGCACCTACAGACAGTCTTTGGTTTCAGCCTGAGTGAAAGGTGATTTTGATGCATTTTTGTCTTTTATTTGTTTATATTCTCAGTTTAACTACACACAACCTCACAGCTGGTTGCACAGTCAGATTTTGCTCAGTGCTCGGAGCTAACAGAGTTTAGACAGAGATCTAAATTAACCGACAGAAACTCCTCCAACCTGCCCTTCTCCGCTGTACAGCCTCTCTTTTCCAGTGCTCTAAACATAGTGCATAATGTTTTGTGTAACCGTTGGTTATGCTTCTGTCGTGTCCCTATTTCCCACCTTAAATACAGACATAGGTTTTACTGGTATAGTCAGCAGTGTGGTGGATTGATTGGAACACAACCTCTTTGGTCTCTTCAATATTGGAGGATGTGAGAAATATTAAGTCTGGGTTTCGTGACAGCGTGCATGAGTCATAAGCGGAGATCAGTAAGAGGTCAGAGCCTTTCACAGTCATACTGTAGTTCAGACTGAAAATATAACAGATTAACCACACAGACACACACACACACACACACACACACACACGCATACACACACACACACACAGCTAACCTGGTCAGCTGGCACACTGGTTCTCTGCATCTTTGTTATGATGTTACTGTGACATTTGCACATTTAATATTGTTTGTGTTGGATAGTTTTTTTGTTTTTTAGTCTTTCCTATGAACAGCTACTCTGATTTTCATCTCAGCTGTTTGTTGTTTTTTTTTTGCGTTATTATGAGCATCTTTTATAACATCGAATAAATGTAAGTGGGTCGAAACTATCCACCCACTCGGAATCTTCTTGTCTGGTTGGCTTTTGTTTTGTCTACTTGTTATGTTATTTTACTTAAAATATTACTGCAGACAGGATTTTTATCCACACATGCATTTTTGTAACCGTAACCTAGGGATGTTGTGACATGGCCAAAATCTCATATGCAGATAACGATACAACATGTTTTCTGCAAATTCATTGACTAAATAACTTGTATAAAATGACCACAGAGAAAGGCCTATTGCTTATTATATTACTCAACAAATAAAATGCACCTACTCATATTTGATTTTTTACAAACCTTTGTGCAGATTTTCAGCTAAGCATGCTAACAGCTGTGTAAAGTAATGTCTTTGTTGCAATGGTAACCTCCTTACATCTTGGTGATTCATTGCCATATGGTGTGTCTTCATTGTCTTGTCATAAGATTCAAAGGATGAATCAGTCAAGTTCATAGGAACTAGGCTGTGTGGCTACAGTCAGAACTGCAGGTCAGGTGATGCCCTGTGGCCTAAACTCATTTGATGAGTGTACGGATGTGTTGCAATGATTGAACCGAGAGTCTAGTCCCTCTCTGGTGTCTGTTAATCTTACATTCAATTTCCTCAAAATATTTTGGTGTTGACATGTCACCATGGTTTAATTACTAAATGTCAAACCACACAGAAAGCTGTAGACTCCTGTTTAATTCCATTATGTTACTGCTTCATATAAATTAAGCATTGCTGAAACACAATTAGTTCAACATGCATTTTGTCTCAGTGAAAGAGCTTTAAGTCTAAAACGATGCACCAGCTAAATCTGCAGCACTCAGTGTTCAATGTTAGTCACAAATAATACATACAGTAAGTGCTTGTTTGGTCATATTAGTAACATTGACATGTTTCTCTCTTCTCTGTTTCAGCAAGCTCGCCCAGCCCCTCTAGCGCACGGCAGCAGAACGCAATAAGGGACATGCAGGCGGAGGCAGTTGGACGAGAGCTCCGACGCATCGGAGATGACTATAATAACCACCTTCTGGTAAGGGCCAGTGATGTCACACACTATGTGTATGAGGAGGGGCAACATTTTGTAGTTCATTTAGCAATTTTTGGGGTGATTTGTTTTAGTTAAGGCTTTTAAAATGTTTTTCTTTATTTGATTAGTCACTGTTTATCCAGCCACTGCAGTACAGAAATCAAAACCACCCTGAAATCAAGTCAAAGCAGAGGCTGTTAAACTGTGCAAATGTGAAGCTGGATGCTGTTAAGTATGAGCAACAGGAAAAAAACAAAAGAAAGAAAAGAAGTTAGACCACAAACGAACCCCAAATGCTGCTGTGGGTGATCTGAGGGAGCCTGTGACCAGCTGCTTATTTTTACAGGGTTCAGGGTGAGAAAAATGAAATGACTTTTGATCAGAACAACCAAGTGGCTAGAAGCTGTAGAAAGTCCAGATACCACAGTAACCAGTGCCGTTAAAAAGCCCCAAAACAAGAAAGCAGCCACATGATACAAGAAAACCCGTGAGGATGCACAGAGGGGAGCCCTCAGTTCCAGCAACAGGAAAAAACTAAAACAAAACTTAATTAGTTCTGACTTTAGTTGTACTGATGATCAGGGGGAGACAAGCTGCAGCATAGACGAAGAGAGTGTGTCCCCCCTAAAATCAGCTTCTCCTCCATTTTCTCTGTCAGGTTCTCTGCAATTGGACACATCGAGGTGAATGTAAACATAACTTTTATTCATTCATATATCATCTTTGAAATGTCACATACTTTCTGCATATCATTCAGCTCAAACATTTTACTGCCTCTTAGAAATTTAGCATGATTTTGAAACATTTTTAGGCTCAATACTTTGCATTTGGTTCATCTTGTGTGCACTTAACATCAAAGACCAAAAGGAGCATATGTGTAACAATGTTACGTTGATGGTATATAGATAGGTGAGTGGTCAGCTCTGATTATGACAGGAATCCTCTGCTACAGTGGGCTGTCCACTGAAGTAACTGCACTACTGCAGGGAAAATAAATCCTCTGAATGCTGGTGTTTACCCATCAGTCAGTTAGATTGGGTACGTTGTAAAGTTGTGTAGTTGCAATAAGAGCCTGTTTCCTCTTGGCTTCTCCGTCCTTGGCAACATTTCTGCATGTTGCATCATCACAGTTTTATTTTCTCCTCCTCCTTGCCTTCTGACTGGAGCTTTAGGAAGCCGGAGAGGAAGAGGAAAAAAAAAAAAAATCAGTGTTGGGTTGAATTCACTTTAATCTCACCCGAGAACTTGATTCAAAAATCAAAATGAAGAAAATGCATGACAGGGCTTTTATATCCCTGGGAAGATCTTAAAATGCTCAGTCGGTGTCAAAACCTTAACAGAGGTACAACTGCAGCTCTCCAGCAGAGCAGTGTCGTAAGTCAGAAAGGTGCTTCTCCCAATGGCTTGAACCTTCTGGCTGCTAATGAGCAGCAAACAGAAGAAAGGGTAACCCTCTCTGTCCTCTTGCTTCTACATTTCCCATCAAACACACTCATCCTTAACCAAAAGGCCATTAAAGCATGTTATTTGAGTGTATTTGTGGTTCCAGCCATTATCACACTGCACCCAAACTGGTTACTCACCCATTGTTCAGCGTTTGTTTTAGATCAATCACTACATTTATCCACCTTCTGGATGATCACACATACTCTCAGCCTCCCCCTGAACATTTCATAAATCAAGCACAAAAGTCAGAGAATGTGCAAAGGGTCATTCAGTGCAAGGCTGGGCTGGGCCATGATTCAAGCTTCAGAGGAAACCAGGGCAAGCTGGATAAATATGTGAAAGTGTGATGAGTCAGGGCTGTGACTCGGCACTTTGTCCAGAGCAAGGATGACTTTTCAGTTAAACCATTATTGGTAAGTCTTGATGGCGTCAAGGACTGGATGACCCTAAGTTTGTTAAAACTTAATGAGACAAAGACTGAAGTTACAGTGTTTGGCCCAAATAAGTCTGGTGATCCACCTTCAGTTGACTTAGGTCACCTGGCGCGGTATGAGAAACAGACGATCTTGAATTTGGGCGTAAAAATTGATTCTGGTTTGAAATTTGATCGCCAAATTAATGCGGTTGTGAAGTCTAGTTTTTTCCACCTTAGACAGATAGTGAAGGTAAAGCCTTTTCTTGCATGCCAGCATTTTGAGACAGTAATCCATGCATTTATTACATCACGTTTGGATCACTGTAATGCACTTTATGTTGGAGTCAGCCAGTCGTCACTTGCTCGTCTCCAATTGGTTCAGAATGCAGCTGCCCGTCTGGTTGGAGTGCGTAAAAGGGAGCATATAACCCCTATTTTGGCATCCCTTCACTGGCTCCCAGTGTCCTTTAGGATTCATTTTAAGATTCTTTTATTTGTTTTTAAGTCTTTAAATGGTCTTGCACCACTGTACCTTCTTGAACTTTTATTTCCTTATAGTCCCTCTCGGTGCCTCAGATCAGCTGACCAGCTCCTGCTGGGGGTACCAAGGGCTAGGCATAAACTTAGAGGGGACAGAGCGTTTTCCGTTGTGGCTTCTAAGCTATGGAATGCGCTGTGTAAACCACCTGATGTTGTGGTTATTAAAAAAAAAAACAACTCAGTGATACATAGAGGTAACTTTATTGTGAAGGGTTGTGCATTTTCCACTGTCATATGGGAAAAGAAATAAGTAGAAGAGTTAAGCAATAAATGCTCAGAACAGAGGATTGATAAGTGACAAAACCAATCAGGAACTGTCAGGGTCAGGTGAGATATGCCTCACAAGTTTCGCCCTTGGGTAGAGTCGGGGGTGTGGCAGAACAGAAAAACGGTGCGTGGAAAGCACAAACTTGCTAATAAATGGGAGAATGATGTGTATGTTGTCTTAAAGAGAGCAGGTGACATGCCTGTTTACACGGTCAAGCCGGAAGGAAAAGATCGGCCTGTGAGAACCTTGCATTGTGACTTGCTTCTTCCTTGCTGGTTTTTGCCTGCCAGTGTCACAACTGAACCTGTTAAACGTCTTCCGGTCAGAAGACCCAGAACGAGACACTGCCCTCAAGTTGAAAGTGAAGAACCCTTGAACTCAGATTCAGAATTGGAGCCTACTTGGGTATTTTCTCCTCTTCATGCACCAGAACCTGAAGTGACTGTTATAGTCCATGACACTAATCGGTGCATGAAACCTTCCTTGTTGGTAGATCGAGCACATACATCTGAAAGGAAATGTGTTGATACTGCTCCTCCCTTTCCCACAGTTGATCTTCTTGAGCGGGATAGGGGGTCAATTTTGCAGGATTTACCTGATCATGACATTTTGTCTGAACAAGACATCTTATCAGACAGGGTTATTCAGCCTGTGGCCGATAACTCACTTGATCAAGAACCCTTACTGGGGGGTGACTTACCAAAGGATGTCGCCTTGATGTCAGATTCACATCCTCCTGCAGAAATGCTCCCTTGTGGGGGTGGATTACTCTTAGTCAGGTGTATCCTGTCCAGGTGGAAGGTCTAAGAGGGACGGAATTTTAACTGAACAGCCTATTGCAGTTAATGCACCAATCAACAGCAGTGTACATTCGGAGGTCCCCATTTGCCGTTCTAAAAGGCAGTGTGAATCTCCTGAGCGACTTCAGTATCATAAACTAGGCAGCCCATTGTTAATGGTAATGAATGCTCTTTTCCAGGGCATAGGCGGGGCGCTTGCTGACTCCTTGAACACCTCTGATAAGCAGAAACCCTTTGCACTAGATAAGTAGAGTTTAAGGTGGATGCTCGGTGTCAGGGACCAAGCAGTAAGGCAAAAGACACAGCCTCCAAAGTTCAAAATAAAGGGCTTTTTATTAACCCAAAAGTAAGAAAAAAATACAAAATTAACATCAGATAAATTGGGCCCTAAAAGAGGTCAACAAAAGATAAGGAAACTCAGAATACAGCAAACTGAACTGTTTAATACCTCAACAAAACCAACTGACCTAGCAAATGACACACACACACAGGGGAACATATATACTGGCTGGCCAAACCAATAACACACACAAGGGATAAACTAAAGACACTACCAAAATAATCAACTAATAAACCCTAAAGAGACATTCTGCTCTCAACTAAATATTTTCTTTAAATATAAAGAAATTAACATAACTTCTAACATAAACTACCAACAAATAAACAATAAATTTCTCCCAAACTCTCCCCCTTCTTGTATTGGGCACTTGGTGC